CCAGCTACTGTCATGGGCGTGTGAATACCACAGACGCGAACCGAGTTAGGGTGCACTGGCTTTGGCGCTGCAGGCAGAACAGCAGGCCCTGCCCTGCCCTTCAGACGAGCAGCTGTGCCCTGGTCTGGCTGGGGGGCCCAGGAGAGGGCAGGGCTCCTGCCTGGTAAGCTGGGGGACCGAGGTCCTCAAAGCCTCAGGGACAGAGAGAAGCAGAAACCCACAAGAGGATATGAAATCAGGGAAGGGAAAAACCACGAAGGGGCAACAGGCGGCAGGGGGAGAAGAGGGAAACGGAGTGCCTCTCCCAGCCCCGCACACCCCGGTGCCCCCCACCAATTACGGGCCACCAGCAGCCCAGTCCATCCTGTAATTTGAAACCAAAGACGTTTAAAGCCCCACCCACCTCACCCCAAACACAAATAGCCATTAGCCTCAGGGGGAGGGACTCATCCAGCTGCCACAAGAACTAGAGACTGGCCCCTCTGAAACTGTGCCCACCTCAGCGAGCCAGCTCGAGGCTGGAAGACCAGCCCACTTTGGCTTTCAACAGGTCTGATTGCTCCTCTCCTCCCCTGACTGCTTCCCACACCATTGTCTGGAATAGGCTCTGGACACAAGAGGGTCTCAGCAGAGAGGAAAAGCCTATCCCCCCACCCAAGAAGCCAAGGCAGGAGGCTGTGCCTGTTGCGGCAGCAAAAAGGCCCAAGACCTGATGTGAGTGAGGACTTCCTGCTCGCAGGACAGCTCCAGGACGGAGGACCTGGCATCGCAGCGCGGATCTGCCCGGACCAGACCAGGGGCCACGTGGGGAGGCGCCAAAGCCACAGCAGCTCCCACACCCAGCATCCCCAGGCACCACCAGCTTGGCCCCGGCGATGAGTCCACAGCAGGGAAGAGAGCATGATGCTCCCGGCACGGACGGCCGGTAACCAAGCTGTCCCGGGGGCGGAAGGGCGTATGCCATACGGAACCTCCCCAGGCTGCAGCCCCCCGCCAGCCTTCCAATCCAATCTCTTCTGCTTCACTCGCCTGGGCTGTGGCCAGGCCCCTGGGCGGAAGCCCTCCAGCCCAGCTGCTCGCTTTGCCTCCCAGTATGGACCCTCCAGGGGCTGCTGGGGGTGCGGCTGCAGGCAAGCCTGCAGGGACCCTGCAGGCCACGTGACGGGCAGCAGCCCAGACAGCTCCTGGCAGGCCCCTCCCCTGGGGCACTCCTCCCCTGGGAACGGACTGACAGGTGGGGACATGGGGGCGGGGGCCGGGCGGTTGGAGGGGCTTCAGGCAAGGGTGCCCACTCACTGCTTGTTGGTGGGCCAGTCAGGAGGCGGGATAATGGTCAGAGATCCGGCCCCGGGGAACCCCAGCGCTCCACCAGCTCCAGGCAGCCCAGGTCACGGCCCTGCCTGCCCCGCCACCCGGGACACACTGCACCAGCGCCAGGTGTGAGTAACAAGCCCAAGGTGTGTCCCTGAACGCGGTGCGGGAGGCAGCCTCACGGGGCCTGGGGCCGCAGTGCTGAGCCCTCCAGAGGTGGGGGTTCTCCCGGCGGGGTCGCTGCCCCGGGGCCCTGAGACCAGAGGCCCGGGACCTCTCCTGGCCCATGGCCTCCCCCAGAGGACCCGGGCACACCCCAGGCTGGCTCGGCGGGCCTGCTGGGGCGTCCTCCAGGCCGGGGTGACGCAGCCCCTCCCACCCCGCCCCCGACCGGCCGAGCAGCCGCGGAAGGTGCTGGAGCTGCCCAGACTTGCCTGTCCCCTCCCTCCTGGGGCTCTCAGCCCACGGCCCCGGAAGTGGATCTCTCTCCCACGGCTCAGCCTCCCCCCTTGGGGTGGCTGGACAAGGCTGGATAATCCAAAATAATTCCTTCTTGGCAGGCAGCCGGCGGGGGGTGGGGGACTTGAATTCCAAACCCTTGTTTTTCTCTGCAACTTCCCTCCTCTCTTGGGGAGAGGAGCCCCGGGCCAGACCTCAAGCCTCCCCCCACCGTCCGATGAAAGTGGGCCACCAATAGGTGTGTTGGGAAGAGGTGACAAGCTCAGATCTGCTGAAACCACCTGCTTGTTTTCAATCTTCTCCGGGAATTCCTAAAAGCTGACACGCCACAAAACATCCTCAGCAGCTCGGCAAGGCCGACGCTGACCGTGCCCTCCTAGGGACCCTCGCCTCAGAGCAGAGGACCGGCAGCCCCTGCCCCAGCCGTTCAACTCTGGGGCTCCCTGCCCTATGCCAGGGTAACGTCCAGGTATGGGGTCGGGCTGGGCCCCCACCTCTGGGGGCCTTGTTCTCCCGTCTCCCAGGGCCCAGCCTGGACATGTGGGAGGACACAGGGGGTGAGGTTAAGCGTGAAAGGGGCTCCCCAGGGCAGGCTCAGGCCCAGAGGGCCCTCCAAGCTTCAGAACGTTCCACTGGCTTTGGGGTCGAGCTTCACCCTCAGTCCTGACCCCCCCGCCAGAGCCCCAGAGCCCATCGAGACCCCTTCCTTTCTCCAAGTTGGCTGGGAAGAAGAGCCCAGTGACGTGGCAGGAAACTCTGAAGCCCTTGAGCTCAAGGACCCTCCTCAAATCTTACAGGCAACCTGAGCACAGAATGGTGGGAAAGGCCCATCTAGGAGGGCTTCCCGCAGGCGGAGGCACATAGAGTGGCAGGGTCCCGGCAGTGAGTACAGAGACTTTAAGACAACAAGCACCGCGAACTGCGGGAGCCGGGGCACAGTGAAGTGGCTGGGGCGCCAGGCCGCCCTCCTCCCAACCCGGAACCTGCACCCGCCTTCCACCCAGGCAGGTGCAGACAGGGGGGCCCAGGTGGCCCTGTCTCATGCCCTCCTCACCAGGCCCGGGGGTGTGGGAGCCGCTAAGGTCTGACCGCGGGCCCAGCCCCTGGGGAGAGCTCCGGCTCTGCCACTCCGGAACGAGGCTGGGTGGGCGCGGGCCTGGAACTCTTGCACAGCCAGGGCCGACCTCCGCCCTGTGCACGGTTCTCGGTGATCGGAGGGCTGGGGTGGGGGG